CTATACAATGAATGGTGAAGTCACCAATGTTCAAACTTCAAGAATCAACGAAAGAAGGAATCACAGGTACTAGTAGGTACAAAAGAGGGTTCGATATGGTGGGATTAAACCATAAAAGGGACGAACAACAAGATAGCAGCCCAAAGACCAGAGTGTATGTAGAACATAATAGACGACAACAGAACAGCAAAAAGCATATTAAACAGCAGACGGGCTGCCTAGATTATACAATAGCAACGAGTAATAAAAACCATGAGCAGCCTCCCAGCGGCCTTGGTACAGTTATGGAATAAGAATGAGCAAGTTCATTCACACGAGTGCGGCGGACTGAAGGTAGCCTCTGAAGATAGAGTCTCGCACTAAAAAAATGTGCGATCATTTTAGTACGGTTCTAGGTCTGGGGAAATGTTGAAGCCCACCATTGCCAATTATCCGTTGCGTCGCTTTCGTGTCCTGCGCGCGAAGGTGTTAACACCGTGTCACACAAAGATGAGTATAAATGATACGTACGACGACACTGGTGAAATGCGTATACAACACACGCCTATTCTCGTTGTTCCGTCGATGAACCTGGAGAAAGTGGGCTCGGAAGTAGTTCAAGACCGCTTCGTATTCGTTGACACGGTCGCCGAACGAAGTAATGCTTGGGAAAGTATCATGAGTATCGAAAAATTTTACGCCGGAGAAGACATACGTACTACTTTCGAACCTTCAACCCCTTATCCAGTTTTGATTTCAGAAGATCGGTTTTATCTAAGCGACGGATGAGATCATGCAGTAGGAAGCAAGTAACCAAGCCCACTTAGAAATAAAACCAAATGGACGTTTTTCAAGAGTGCATTGGAGCAAATCTGTGTGAAAAGTTGGAGCGAGTCATCTATTCGGTTGACTCGTGGATCTTCTTCAAGATACTGCGGGCAAATGATGAGAGGGCATAGCAACCGGCAACACGAGGAAAAGTCATGCCTGATCAAAGGCGCTAACCGGAGCGACAAAAATGATGGCATTGGCATCATCAAAATATGGGACCCATGAGTGCCTCTGACCACGAGCACCGCCTACATCGAACAGATGCCATGTCACCGACTTTCCATGGATATTCACGTCAAAGATGTGTTCTGCAATGCCCATGGTTTGTATACGAGCATGCAAGATGTCGTCTGTGGGAATGGTCAATATATGGGCTTCGAAATAGCAGATGCCAGCTGACCGGTTGTTGGGATATATTCGGGTGCCGCGACACGAGCGATATGTCGGAGGAAGCTGTATCACTATAAGTCACGGTATCCAGTAACACTAAGCCGACAACGTACAACTCTGACCACTCATCAAGCTTCAACCTCCGCTTGGCTATCATACCCCTCACAGTGGGATGGTTCCACAGTTCCTTGACGTCAGCTTCAAACAGGGTAAGCATGCGCGCGACATCCAGAATTAGGGCGTCGTGGAGCGGCTGCACATCTGATGAAATGCTCTCTCGTTCCTTCTTATCCGTGGGTGAACGCTTCTTCGACAGCCGGCCCAATGCATTCTCTATTGTCCTCGCTTGCCATCCGCTCCGCACATACACGCTACCCTTCCCAGAACCGGAGACAGCGATCCCACCGCTCAAGCGATCCGCGAGCTGTGTGTCGGTGGAGACAAGTGGAGAGAGCTTCCGTCGCAGGGCAGCAATTTGATTGGCGCCTGGGTCCTTTGTCCATGGATGAGAGTGGTTTGAAGAGGAGGCAACACCGGCTGCAGAACTAGGAGAGCCATTTGGGAGACCACCAAGGTAGAGTGACGTAGAGGGAGAAGGTTGATCCGCAATGCCGCTTGCGCGTGTTTTCTCATCGGTTAGGGATATAGAGTCATCGTCTTCGTCGAGGACGTCGTCCCATGCTTCGAGGGTGTTGAGTATATGCTTGAGGGAATGAACGACATTGAAGTAAATGACGGTTTTCCATGAGATGCGCTCCTCGTCGAGTGAATTTGGCCGATACATAAGTTGGAACTGCTTTTGTAGGGTGGATTTCCCACTCTCTGCTTGACCAAGCAGTAGAAGCTGTTGAAGGGGGTGAGTATATGCGCGCAAAACAAGCCGTATAGAGGTGCAAACCTTGACATCGCCCTTCTTGCGCCTGAAGCGTTCGCGCTCCTCCCGTAGGTCTTCGTCAATCTTCTCGGAAATACGCTTAGCCTCGGCTTCATACTGAAGGCGGGCAATGCGTTCTGCCTCCGTCTCTGTGGGAGAAGGCTTGAGCGCCTCAGAGATGGGGTCATCCTGGCTGTAGAGGGAGGGTGTGCGCATAGTGTGCGGAGAGGTGATGATGGTAGTAAAGAAAGGAAGGACGGGGAGTGTGAAGAGAAGACAGATTCAGGCATGAGATTTGGGTACCTGATCAATCTCTCGGCGTCTATTTTTACATCACCTCGTGACAACGCTTGCATCTCCTCTGTCACACGGCGTTCGCTTGCATCCGCTTGCCATGGTACGTTCTCCTGTTCAAAGTCCCGCCTAGTCCTCACAAAACATAGTCAGTTACTCTGCACACTACCCACGGGGACCTCAAGGTAAGCTCTATCATTCTCCTTTCGTGTTACAGTCACTCATCTGTCACAGATAGAAGTCTTCTGCGAGGCTGTCCCCAAGGCGGCGGAGGTTCGTAGCCCATTCGTGCCCAGCTCTTTACTCAATCGTCGTCTAGAACTTCCTCGCCCTGTGTGCGTCAGACTACTACAATGACTGCATTTTTCACAGAAATATCAAATCTTTCATGGTCCAGACCGGAGATCCCTCTGGGTCTGGTAAAGGAGGCCAGAGCATTTGGGGCGCTCCTTTCCCCGATGAAGTTCGATCCACACTAAAAGTGAGACGCCCAGCGGATGCTGTCCACTTATCCTGATCCGCGACACTCGATCCTAGTTCAACGCACGGGGCGTCGTTGCTATGGCCAACTCTGGCCCGGACACCAACAAGTCTCAGTTCTTCATTACCTATTCGAAGCAATCGCACCTTGACGGCAAATACACCATATTTGGCAAAGTCATTGACGGTCTGGACTCGACGCTCGATGCTATGGAACGGGTACCCGTGAACAACAAGAACAGGCCGCTCAGCGAGATCAAGCTTACACATGTGGGTGCCCTCTCCGTTCGATTGTAAGCCATCTCATCAGAAGTCTTGTCAGGTCACGATCCATGCGAACCCTATAGCAGATGCACAATTACGGCGATGATGATGTGACTGTTGTAGGTGTTTCAATCATTCTGGAACCTTGTTCGTGATGCATACGTCGTCATGTGGCGGTGTGCCTTTGTTAAACTGTTGTGGAGTACGCTTTTCTGACCACCTCTACTGTACAGAATTAATCTTGGGACTCTGCATTTTCATGCCGTCATCGTTTGATGAACCCAACAAGCTCCTTCTGAAGCTCTCTTTGTCTCCGAGCTCTCTCAAGGTCGTCAACGCTGCGTAGATCATAAACAATATCGCGAGTCTTCCCAAAATAAACCTGTCAGGAAAGTAGTCAGAATGCTTAAACCTGTGCTTGTTCCTGGATTCGAAACCAGGGCGAACATACCTCTTGAAGCGAGTTCCGCATCTTAATTTCCATCTCTTCAATCATCTTACCAGTGTTCGTGATGTGTGATGAGGGATCATGGATAGGCCAATCTTGTTCATGCTGTATGGGAATTTGTGTCAGCACAAAATAACAAAATTTCAGATGAATGAGGGGCGGTGCATGGGTCCATCAACTGCGGAACCCATCACGGGGATGGGCTCGCGCTCAACTTCTTTGGCTTGGAACTCAGCACACGGAATCAAACTCAAAGAGGTATCCGGTTACCCATGATGCAGAGAAAGTAACACACACCTGTCTTGTCATACTGCCGCCAATTGTGACCTCACCATTTCGCTTGAATTGTATGTCCTTAGTTTTCGTGTGCCCCGTTGCTGCGGCAGCCTTCTTCTCGTTCTCGTTACCCTCCTCTGATGCCTGATGCGTCGTGAGTTGCAACATGATCGTAGAAGTGAGCTTATAATGCGCCTGGCGACCACGTTCTCCAGACTCGAAAACATGGATGGAGTCCCATGATCCCGAGGGTTCCTGGTCTGAAGAAGGGGTCATGGCTGCTCGGGGGCACCAATAGCAAAATCGCGCGGGAATGGGGATCTGCAGTTGAGTGGAAATATGCGCCCGTAGTTCAATAAGGGACGTACCCTTCTTGAATAGTACGACTCCTGCGAACCCGCCATCCTCGAGGTCCCAGAGATAGACAGAGGATACCCCTCCTTCGTAGTACCTGTATCACACCTTGTCAGCCTGAATGAACCAGCCTTCCAGACCAGGGGCACGCACATCTCACGATAGGTGTCAAAAGCCTCATTCGCTGTGATCTCCAGTTTACGCAGTCTGGGTGTCGGTACGGTTCCATCCTCAAGCGGAGGGTCGTACTCATTTGACCAAGGAGACCTATGTGCCAGAAACAGGAACAAGGGCAATAAACTCTCATGCTCTCAAAAACATCGCAGTCAACAGATATAGGACATACCGATAGCTCTCGCCGTCTCGATTGTAGTCACAAGCGAGGTAATCGCGGCCTGTTGCACGATCCGTCTTGAGTTGTAGTGGTTGATCGACGCTGCCGAGGAGATCGTCTGCGTAGTCGGGGCAGATTGCGATTAACGCGTTGACGTTTTCTTCTGTCCGTGTAGGAGGTAGACGTCTCATGAGATCAAGCATACAGTCGACGAGTTCCGCCATGGTTGGTGAACGTGTAGTGAAAGTAGTGGTTTGTTATCACTGTTCGGCGTTCTATTTAGGTCATCAATTAAGGCCACTATACCGTAATGGACAACAAGGTAGCCATCTCTCTCATACATAAAATTCCAATAGGAGAGTAGGGTGGGGTGGGGTGGTTAAAACAAGAATGGCTACAGAGTGACCACAATATACAGACGACAGAGCAGGCAAAACGGAGCGAATTTGCTGAAAAAGACCGTTTAACATAGCTAATGCCCCACACCAGGATTGAACTAGTGACCTTCTCATTGACCTGTCGGTACAAGTGAGACGCGCTACCACTACGCCAGCAGGGCTTACGGGGTGACTTCATCGATCGATCCAAGGCGCCGCTGAAACCCGACCCCGGTAAGCCTTGGGATGTATCCTCAACTTCGTCAAAAGAAAGCAGTCTGTCGAGCTGAATAACTGTTTGATATCCGGCCATCGATAAGCATGCGTCAGCATGTTCGGTGTTTTGAGCCCGCAAGCAAGTGTAGTGAATCTCCACCATTCCAGCCCAGCTCAATTATTCCCAAAGGCATCTACCTGTACATCCAATGCCAATGGACAGCATTAGTTAGTTGAATGACATCACACGTTTAGTAGTCTGCCCATGCACAGTTGAAATGGGGACGGAGGCCACAATCATAGGGAAGCTGATGGCCACGGTGCCGGGCGGAGCACGGAGTTAGCCGAGCTCCGAGACCGAAATTTATGGTATGGGCAACGTGGGCAGATCGAAACTTGACTCTCGACCACCATCTTCCTCGACTTTAGTGAAGGTTTTGCCCACAGATCTTCACAATAGCGCCTACCCACCCTTCTCATCCCTTTCATATCCTCTTCTGTACCGGCAGAGGATTCATGCTTCGTCCGCCAATTGCTACAACAAAGCGTAAACGTTCTGCCTCCATATCTTCTACCAGTTTTGTAAGCCTTGTCTGTCGCCCCTTTTTTATGAATTTTTTTAATGAACTTTTTGTATCTAGAGACGTTAAGTCACCCATCTGCCCAACATGGCCTCCGGACCTACTGTAAACATCCGTCGTGATGTCGATGACAAGTTCTATCGCTACCGGTATGCGGTTAACTAGTGTTTCATAGGCCATGCCGCTGACACACGGATAGCATGCCCCTCTTGACCACCAAAATCGAGGGTAAAGGAAACGGCATCAAGACTGTCGTCCCTAATATGTCCGATGTAGCCCGTGCTCTTAGCCGGCCCCCTTCCTATCCCACCAAATTTTTTGGTTGTGAACTCGGTGCACAAACTTCTTTCGACGAGAAGAACGACAGGTACATCGTCAATGGTGCTCATGATCCAAACCGTCTCCGCGAGCTTCTTGATCATTTCATCGAGAAGTTCGTCTTGTGCAAGTCATGCAAAAACCCTGAAACGGACCTCGTTATTCTCAAAAGTGGAAGGAACGAGGAAATTATTCGTGATTGCAAGGCGTGCGGCGAGCGTACAGATGTAGACATGCGCCACAAGTTGACAACTTTCATTCTCAAGAATCCTCCGGTTAAATCCAAGAAAGACCGGAAGCGAAATGCTGGCACAGCTGCTGCTAATGTAGGCGGAGGCAATTCCCCCACCCACGAGGCTGGAGATGCCGAGGTAGCCGATGCTGCTGACGGGGCTGAGAGTGATGATGAGCTGACGAAGAAGATCAAAGCCGAGGCCGCAGAGCTTAATACGGATGCTGCCATCACTGATGAAGGATGGGTCGCCGACACTTCTCCCGAGGCCGTTAAGCAGCGCATGAAGGCCCTCGAAGGCAGCATGGCTGCTGCTGTCATTGGTGGAGACGACGAAGGCAGCGATGAAGATGTCAATAGTCCTTACTCTCAGCTCGGCAGATGGGTAGAGGAGAATCGCGGCGACGTAGAAGACCTTAAGACCTTTGCCGTCGACGTCTACAAGAAGGTTCAGGACTTGGGTATCGAGAAAAAGCATAAGGCTGTCTTGGTTTTGATGCAAGCCCTCTTTACCGACGAAGCTGTGACCGAGATCAGGAACTACCTTCCTCTCTTCAAGAAGGTATGTGGTCCGTCTACTTTCTGTGCCGTACATACTAACTCGTTGATAGATGATCAGCTCGGAGAGGCACCAAAAAGCCTTGCTTGGAGGTCTGGAGCGTCTTGTTGGCTTGATGCAGCCTTCGCTCGTTCCTGTTGTCCCCAAGTTGTTGATGGAGTTTTATCAAGCTGATATCCTCGAGGAAGAAGTCATCACTCAGTGGGGTACTCACGTTAGCAAGAAGTATGTTGACAAGGAGACTAGCAAGAGGGTTAGGAAGGCCAGTGAGCCGTTTTTAAAAGTACGTGTCCGTCCTTGTGTGTGTTCATTGACATTGCTCACCCTTTGTGCTTCACCAGTGGCTTGAAGAAGCTGAAGACGATGAAGATGAAGATGATGAGTAAAAAGAATGTGTTTCGGTTTTGTAGCTCACGTCTATGCTATCCGTTATGTTTTGTTGCCTTGTCGATGCTCGGATTGAATTGATCTTGTTTTGTGCAAACGTTCCGACTCAGGGTGTGATCATGGCAAACACTGGCTAAACAATGGCTCTTATTTGAACTTGTTCTGAACGCCCCTCCAGGTGTTCGACGTTAACGTAACATAGAGTTCAACGTTAGACCTCCATTTCTTTTATTACCGCTCGGTGTCACCTTGGTGAGTGGGTTTTAGCATGTGATACTTTAGGATATCCACTAATCCAGCATTGCGTACAGGCCATCTCTTTCGGTGCCGCCACATTTACCGGATGTTCGGACAGTAGATCGAGCGCACGTAACTACTTCCATTCTTACTGTGAGACGCCGCCGATAATATCGACCGTTGACCGGGACCTTTACGCGATCATCTTATGACACGCAAGCTTATCAGACATGCGAGGGAAGATTCTGGCGCGTCTGTCCGATAGCCCCCGCACGTTGTACCCAACCACCATCCCCTGCCATGCCCCCGAATACACAAGCTAAGTCCGGCCCAAAAACGCAATACCAGCATTACATACCACGTTTCATCCTTCGAAAGTTTCTTGAAGAACAAGGTCCGGCCAGGTGAGTGCTGCCCACGTGTCCTTTGATCTGTGATCAAGCGCTCATCCATGTGCAACGCCTGCTGCGCAGGACCAGCAAGCAGCGCAGCAAGGACAACTGGAAGGCAAAGAAGATTGGGGTTGAGACGGAGCTCATTAATGTCTATGATCTTCCAACCAAGAGTTTCCAATCGGTCTCAATTTCAAAAAGCTTTGGAGGGGTCAACATCTACACGGACATCGGGAATGGGATAAATTCTCAACACGTAGAGGGGAAGCTGTCCCGTCTCGAAAACGAGGCTGCACAGGTCATCACGGCTATACAGGATGCTCGAGGCCAGGGCACCTTTGTGTTGACCAGGCATTCTTTGGAGATCCTTCGAAAATTTGTGTACATCATGCACTTTCGAAAGCCAATCATACAGGACATGTACTTCAACACCGGTCCGGAAGACCCCCTCCGAGATTGGATTCAACGATACAAGCAAATACATAACCTTCAGACGCCGGAGGATATGTGGCTGCACTCTCTTGCCTATATTCTCGAAACGCCCCACCCAATGCTTGTCGCTAAAGGGGAAGAGATCCGATCCCGATACGGAGAACAAAAATTCTGGGAGATGCTCCAGACGAAAGTAGACCCTGAGCTCGACAATTGGTTCGCCCAGGATTACTCGAGCCTCGCAAACGCTTACTATTTCGGTGTTTGGGAAGCCGCATCAGGATGCGAGTTTATCACAGGGAACAATTCCTTCGGTCTTTGGGAAGGGATCCAGAAGATTGGGGCAGACATACATCGCCTCCATGTCATAAGTCCTAGGCTCATCCTAGTACTACGATCAATTACCTTCCGCATGTTTGAAGACGAGGCTTCAAAATTCGTTCACAAGAGTGCCCTGGCCGAAATTCCCCTGCCAGGTGCCGAAACCAAATATCATGGTCATCCTGGTGGTTTCACATCGGAAAAAGCCCTATCGCATTACCGTTCCACACCGGCAGCGCAAAAGGACATTTTCACATATAAAATCACCAAACTCACGGCGGCACAGACTCGCGAGGTCAACGAAGTCATTCTTGTTAATGTTCGAGATGAAGATGGCTCCATCGTGTTCTTGTCAAAAGAGTATATGCTGGGAGCCGTTCATAATCACATTGCTTCGCCAGAGATACCTATCCAACACACGGATCCGCATGGGCGATACTCCCCTCTCTACCATGCTCTCCTACGCTCACTGACAACAAACTCTACATCTGCATCGGACGCCGATTATCGTTTGCGCGTCGTCCGGGAAGTTCTACGACGACGCATGGTTCAATTCCGTTCCGACTGGGACGAAGCTTATCTGTGCTATCGAATAGCGACGGCTGATGCCAATCAATTACATCCACTTGCAGTTGATGTACGGCTGCGGCTGGCTCAGATGATAATTGTTACACAGGCTAATTTGAAAATCCAAAACCCACGGAGAAACCCCTCAGCTCGCATCGTCGATAGCATGTCTCAAGAGGACTCGACCCACATCATGGGGCTTGCAAGTAGGACAATTCGGATACTCACCGGGCTCGGCCCTACGAAGAAGCGAACGGACGAGGCTTTTGTCAAGGGAACAGCGTTGGTGGGGTACATCGAATGGCTAGCCAAAGAAAGGATGGACTTCTTCAAAGAGATGATCGGCCCTGCCGCATACCAAAGACTGACTCTGATTTAATGGAAGGTTGACTTTTGGTGAACGATACCACTTTCTATTAGTTATACCCCACCTATCTATGGCGTTTGCTCCTGATGTTTGTTTGATCTATAATTCACTTCCCCGCGATTTTTGTTTGTAGAAATATGACTAATAAATCTTTACACCGACAATACGGTTTATCAGTACGCATACATTGTTCATTATGCATTGCAAACTTCAAATGAAGAACTAACGCAGTGACGATAGGGGACTCCCGCATTACCGAGGTCATGTCTTCCAATACTAGTCTGTGCCCCGTTCTTGTATTCCGGAAGCGCCAGCTCGAGTGCCCCCACCCACCTCCGTAAGAGGGCCAACAATACAGCGCATATGCGAAGCCCCAGCGCACGGGCACCCCGGCACACACCCCCAATAAGTTCCACGAGGCCAATGGGCCTATGCTGATCATCCACATAAACATTGTGAAGAGACAAGTTCCTATCTACCCCCATTTTTTTCGACCAGGACGGTGTCCCGACTGTTCGCCATTCGACTTCTATTTTGTGCGTCGCATAGCCCTAAATTCCATAGGTATGGAGA